AGGGAGCCTGATGCGGGGCTCGATCCCAGGACCCTGGGATCATGACCTGAGCCGAAGGCAGCCGCTTAACCGACTGAGCCACTCAGGCGCCCCTGTGCTCTCGCTTTCTCTCTTTCTCTCTCAAATGAATAAATAAAAAATCTTAAAACACTTGTAAAGAATCCCTGATGGGGTGACAGTATTAAATGAACAAATCATGGAAGGCACAGAACTACACACATCGTCTTTGGAAGGCCACAAGCTCTGGAAAGCCACCAGCGGGAAGGACATAAACATATTAATACGTTCTATTGTTTGCTGGCATTGCGGGTGATTTTCTTCAGTCAGCATGTGGTTTTTTATAACTGGAAAGAAAGAAAGCGCACCCTACCACGAGGGGAGGGACTCTTTACAGGGCAGAGCCTTCTCAGCTCAGTGTGCCAGGTTGCTTCAAGTATCTGAACTAAGGGCTTTGCAGCATCCGGGCTTGTTCCCGGGCAGAGTGACTCAAGGCCACGGGTATAAGGTCTGGGGCCTGGGGCAGAGGCCCTTTGATAACATTTGCTGCTTACATTACTGTCCCACTGTAGTGTGTGTAACCCGAAGAGGCCTGTGGTGGGGGAAGAGACTTGGGTGAGTCAGGGACTGAGTGTGACTCAGTGGGAAAGGGCCCTGCGGAGGGGGTGGGCCCTCGAAGGAGCAGTGTTCATTCTGGGTCTCCACCAGGGGGCAGCAGTTGGCCGTGCTTTTCTTGGGGCAGGGCTCTCTCAGGCCCCCCCACCCCACCCAGTGGGTCCCACCCTCCTCAAGCTTAGCTGATTTAGGCTGCAAATAGGGAGCAGAGGAGTGCCCCTTTATATGCTCCTTTATATGCCCTTAGCTCTCTTCCCTTACAAGGTTGTACCCATCTGCCAATCCAGTGACCTCTTCCTTTAAACCAGTATATTTTAAGTGAAATTTGCCCTTAGTTGCTCTTAGCCTGACAACGCTTTGTTGCTTCAGTAGGGCCTTCTGCCCATTGATCTTGCTTGTTTCCTCCATTCAGTACCTTTGTGTTGGACGAATTTAAGCGCAAGTACTCCAATGAGGACACACTTTCTGTGGCGCTGCCGTATTTTTGGGAGCACTTTGATAAGGATGGCTGGTCTCTGTGGTACGCTGAGTACCGCTTCCCTGAAGAGCTCACCCAGACCTTCATGAGTTGCAACCTCATCACTGGTGAGAAGAGGGTGGGTCTAGGAAGAGGAAGGGGGAGGACAAGGCAGTGGGGGATGTGATTCTAAAGGCTGCATGTTCTCCCTCACCCCTTCAGGAATGTTCCAGCGGTTGGACAAGCTGAGGAAGAATGCCTTTGCCAGCGTCATCCTCTTTGGAACCAACAATAGCAGCTCCATTTCTGGAGTTTGGGTCTTCCGAGGCCAGGAGCTTGCCTTTCCGGTGAGGAAAGGTGGAGGGGAGGAGTCTTTCTCTTCAGGGTGGGGCAAGGGGATGGGAAGGCCACCTTCATCCCTGTGCTTGTAGGCATTCAGGAGAGTTCAGGGAATGTACACAGGAAGGACTGCCATGGTCACTGCATTTCAGGATCCGATGACGTGGGTCTGAGCTGGAAGTAACAGGTGTGGGACAGTGTCTGATAACTGACCACATGCTGCTTAACCTGGCTTTCTCTCCCCAGCTGAGTCCAGATTGGCAGGTGGACTACGAGTCCTATACATGGCGGAAACTGGATCCTGGCAGCGAGGAGACCCAGACGCTGGTTCGAGAGTACTTTTCCTGGGAGGGGGCCTTCCAGCATGTGGGCAAAACCTTCAATCAGGGCAAGATCTTCAAGTGAACATCTCTTGCCATCGCCTAGCTGCCTGTACCTGCCCTTCAGGGAGATGGGGGTCATTAAAGGAAACTGAACATTGTCCTGCCTCCTTTATGAGTGATGGCTTCTTCAAAGGGGAGTATAGATACGTTGAAGCAGGGTATTTTCTGGGCCTGCAGTACCTCCCTTTGCAGGAGAGGAGTCTTCAGAAGGGCGGAAGAGGGGCCTCTCTCAGTTTTGACTGTATTCACTCTGCCTCTACTGTGATGACTGACTTCTAGCCTAGCTGGGAAAGACTGGATGCAGTTAGGGTGGGTGGTGACATGGAGCTTTGTAACTACCCAGTTCTTCAGGTCCGGATTGCTGAGGTACAGTAGCGCACAGTGTGTGGAGGGACTTCACGTTATTTCTCACAGATGCCCTGGGAGGGAGGGAGGTGGTGGCATCGAGGGTCTTAGTTGAAATATTTCAAACAGGCAGGAATATCAGGCACAGACTACTCAGAACAGGGCTGGCCTGTTGGCCCTAACCTGGCTGCGGATCATCTCTGGGGTATTCCTACTTTCTCACAAGGAAGTGGGGTTCAGAGATGTAAGTGACTTGCCTCTGGAGACAGGATTTGGACCCCAGTGGGTGTCACTGGACCCTGTACTGGCAATGTGCTCTGCTGCTTCCTGGAACGTGGAGCAGTCTGACTTGCCACCTAAGAACCCACTCAGACCTGGGGGTACTAGTTTTTCTCTCTTGAGCTTAATTTTTATCATGCTCTTTTCACAGGGTCTTGTTTCTATTTTGTCTTTTTTTCTGTCGTCTTTTCTGAAAAGCATTGAAGGTCCCCCTGTGTATTACCAGTTTAGGTGAAGTTGGAAAGCTCTAGTTCAATTCACATTTTGAGGCAGATGCAGAAACAGTCACGATTCAACCTTTGGTCTCTAGTTTATGGTTTTATATGTGTTATTTTTCTCCCACCCTTAGTCTGAGCACAGAGAAGGGCTTAGCTTGGGAGGGGAAGAAGGTGATCTTTTCAGGTACACATGGTCTGGTAGCTTGGGAGAGTGTAGGGCAGTCATCTAGCTGGGTACTTGGACTACAGTTGGGGTTCTGGGAAGAATGAGCGCAGGAGAGTCCCAGTGTGCAATCCAGCTGGGTGAGGATGGGCTGGTTCTTGCTCAGGGTTTGCTCCCTGGCAGGTCATCTTGAGTTGGATCCAAACTTGCCAGCTGTCTTGCTTCCGAGCATTCCGGGCTGCTCTTGGTTAGAATCTAAAAGTGCTAGTTGCTGGCTGGGCTGGGCCCTGCGCTGGGTGCTGGGCCTCACCTAACCTGTCAGACTCCCTTCACAAATCCGTTTCCCACCACACCTCCCTGCTCCTTCGCTTGTGTAATCTTCACCCCCTTCCCAGTATCCTTGACCTTACCAGTAGCTGAAGACTTGGGAGAGACCCCAGTTCTACAAGGTTTGAAGGGGCAGGCCAGAGACCAGGAGTGGGGCCCAGCTGCGGAAAATGGGGTTTCTGCAGGGGGGGTAGAACTTGGGCGGCAGCAGGCCTGGCACCCCAACGGGGACTGGGCGGGTCTGGGGGATCCAGCCTCTCAGCCTCCCTCGGACTGCAGGAAGGGTGACTCATCTGCACGTCCTGCCTCTGGTGCCTCAAGCTTTGGCGGTTTGGTGCAGAGGAGAGTGGCCAGGTTGTTGGATGAAGCCAGGCCTGTGCTTGGGGGAGGGCCAGGACCCTCAAACGGAGGTGGGGTGGGCAGCCCAGGGGCAGGGTGTTGTGGCCTCGGGCAGGGTAGCTGCTGGCCTGCAAAGCGGGATGGAACTAGAGGGTCTTTGCCCTGCCCTGGTGGGCAAGAAAGAGGTTAACAGCAGGAGTTTCTAGCGGCAGATGTGGGGCGGGGGAAAGAGGGCAGGTCCAGCTGGAGTTGGTTCGGTCCCGCCCTGCCCCGGGGAGGCCTGAGTCACCGTACAGCCGCGGGCTTGGGGCTGTGCTTGGGACTCGCGCCCTCCCGATCCCGGCTGGGGCCCCGCGCTTGCTGGAGCTCGGCCTGGCTCCCCTGCTCCTCCCGGCCCCGCCCGGCTCGCCTCGGCGGCCAGTGAGCGCCTGCGCCAGGGGGCCGTCTCTGGTTGTTGGGCCCATTTCCTGACATGCCGGGGAGGCTCGTGCCACCCACGCACCACCTAGAGCTGGCATCCCGGCGCCCACGCTGCAGCGCGTGCCTGCTGGGGCCCCGGCCGGAGTCGCGAGGAGGAAAGGGAAGGGGGCCTTGTGAGTGGGTCGGGGCTGAGAACAGGGCATGATCTTGGCGAGCTGGAGTAAGATGGAAGGAAGGAGGAAGCCGTTTTATCCACTTACTGGGCAAACTCTTAGAGCGTCCAGAAGAGGAGGTGGAGAAGGGAGAGGGGTCTGGGCTCAGGTGCTTTTGACTGCAGATGAAATCTTTATTTTAATTCAGTGTAGTTAACACAGTGTTATATTCGTTTCAGCTGTACCATAGAGTGACTGAACACTTCCATATATCCGCAGTGCTCATCAGACAAGGGCACTCCTTGATCCCCATCCCCTGTTTCGCCCATCTCCTCACCCCCTCCGCTCTGGGAACCACCAGTTTGTTCTCTATAGTTAGGGGTCTGTTTCTTGCTTTGTCTCTTTTTTTCCTTTGCTCATTTGTTTTGTTTTTTAAATTCCACATACGAGTGAAAGCATACGGTATTTGTCTTTCTCTGATGTACCTATTTCGCTCAGCATAACACGCTGTAGCTCCATCCATTGTCCCCGCTGCAGATGAAATCTTTACCGAGCCCAGCGCGTGAATGGGAACGCCTGAGACTTGGTTCAGCCTGTATACAAACCGGTAGATACTGGTTATGAGCAGCTATTTATTTTAGCTTTGTTGGCCCTTCTGCTTAAGTCACTTATTAAGACGCCAAAAGCCTTTAAAGTTCTTCCAAGAAAGACCTCGATTGTCTCCTTTTTTTCCTTTCCTGTTTGAGCTGGAGCTGGACAGCTGCTCTGCACCCTGGGTCAGACCCATCCCACCAGCTGCCCACATGCCCCAGAAGTGCCACTTCCCCTTTTGAGAGGTGGGGGAAGGCTCTAGAATGTTGAAGGGAGAGGAATGAAGTGTTTTGGAGGATCCACCCAGTCATTTCTGAAATCAGTACTGTGGTTTTCATGGCAACCAGCACTCTTTGTCCTCGGAACCCAGAACTTTCCCTCCACACGTCAAGTGGGTTTTCCTGGGTGACTGTGGCTTCCCTGGCGCACCCCACCAGCCGTACCTACACTGCAGGGTAACTTCCCCAGCGGCTCTGGTCGTCTGTGGGAGTGCCGTTCTGGGGTCCTCACCCTCTTCTCCGTGCCCCTGCCCCCCATGCCGTGGAGCTAAAATGCCAGTGCTCCTGAAAGGTTAGGGAGACAGTCACCTGCTCCTGTCTGTTTGCTCTAATGAGGCTGGCATGGCTCCCGGGAAAGGCTGTCGTTTTACTCCAGTGGAATTACTGGGGTGTCCCAGCGCTTCAGCACCCAAGCGATGGGTGGAATGGCGGTCAAGGTGGCTGCTGAGCTCTGTGCTGTAGTCACCTGTGTCTCAGAAGAGGCAGAATGCCATGGGCACGTGGGACTGCTTAGGTGGCAAAGGTGTCCTTGGTGACCCTGGGTCTCTAGATGTTCCCGGGGCTCTTTTCATTCTTGTGGCCCCCTCCCTTTCGGGAACTTCCACCTGCCCCCTGCTTTCCTCATTTCCTCAGGATTCCAAAGGGGGAGCCTACTGACCGGAGCCTGTTTACACGATGGGCTGGCCATGGGCAGAGCAGGGGCCGGACGGTCAGGGTTTGGGGCTATTTCTGATCGGATCTCCCATGGAATGTGCTTCCCTCTACTTCCAGCTGCCCCCTCCCCTCCGAAGCAGGAACAGGTGTCATGTGAGGGCCTCTCCCGCTGGCTCAGCCCTTTTGCAATCATCTGGCTGGCTCTGCCAGGATGGGGGTGGATAGTGAGGATGGGCAGAGCCAAAGGGTGACTGAGGGGACATGGCAGGGCAGGGAGGGCTATGGAGTTGAAGGCCGAGGGTAGAGGGCTTGCCAGGGCCAGGTAGGAGGGCTGGAAGCAGTTGAGTAGGCCAGGGAGGCGGTCCCATGAGCTTAGGGCGCCCATCAGGGGCAGTGGGGGCTACACGGGGACCAGAAACTTTCTAGGTGCAGGGGACATGAGTTGGTTATAGTGGGACCCTGGCCAGTCATTCTTCAGGGAGATCTGCATTTCCCCTGAGTCACAGGGAAGCCACGGGGTGTTTTCCTGCCAGGCCGACTCTCTGTGGGGCCTGAATCACCGAGTTGCCAAGGGTGTGGGCTGCCCTACTGTGGCGGTGCCTGGGCCCTACCCCACCCACTCCTGTTAGGACAGGGGTGAGCAAACACACTCCTTTAGCCCACCCTCCTCGGTGGGAACACTCCATCTCTTGGACTCAGACTTACAGAATGTACCTTATGCAGGATTGCCTGAGAGACCCCATTAGGTAGTCCCTTTATTGTAGCCAGGAGGAAACGAGCAGAGAGGGGAAGTGACTTATCAAGGGTGCATGCAAGTCTTTCCACAGTTCTCGAAGCCACTCACTGAGTCATTTTGCTTCCTAAGAGCAGGAGGGCGGCGCTTCTCCCAAAGTTGCGGGGCCACTATGATGGACCAAGCACACTTGGTTTTGGGGGCAGACAGAGGGTGGTATCCAAGGCTGCCAGCAGCCCTGGCTGGGTATTGAACACAGAAGTAGAGCAGGTCCCGCGGCAGGTCAAGCCCCAGCGCTCCAAGTCCTCCAAGTCCCGGGGCGGGCAGAGGGCACAGGGTGTAGCAGAGGCGGGACTTCGAGTGACAGGAACCTCAACTATGTGGTGACTCAGGCTCTGGGCAGCTGAGGCCCTGCCTTCACTGCTCAGCCTAATCTCCTTAGACTGGACTTGGGAAGTGCAAGCAGCAGAGGGAGGGAAACCCGGGCTGGTCCCCCTTACCCCTCCGGAACTGGAGGAAAGGCAGAGGAAGTTGGAAAGGGTGGCGGAAAGGCAGATTCCAAAAAAGGGGAGAGGAGGCTGGTGCTCCCTCCCTCTCCG